AATTCAGGCCAGATTCAGAAGAGGACAGGGAATGAAGGATATCATTGCCAATGTCAGATGGATCTTGGCTGAAAGCAGAGAATACCAGAAAGATGTTTACGTGTGTTTTATTGATTATGCAAAGGCATTCGACTGTGTGAATCATAACAAATTATGGATAACATTGCGAAGAATGGGAATTCCAGAACACTTCATTGTGCTCATGAGGAACCAGTACATAGACCAAGTGACAGCTGTTTAAACAGAACAAGGGGATACTGTGTGGTTTAAAATCAGGAAAGGTGCGTGTCAGGGTTATATCCTTTCACTATACTTATTCAATCTGTATGCTGAGCAAATAATCCAAGAAGCTGGACTGTATGAAGAAGAGAAGGACTCGTTAATAACCTGTGATATGCAGATGACACAACCTTGCTTGCTGAAAGTAAAGAGGACTTGAAGCACTTACTTACGAAGATCAAAGACCACAGCCTTCAGTATGGATTACACCTCAACATAAAGAAAACAAAAATCCTCACAACTGGACCAATAAGCAACATCATTATAAACAGAGAAAATACTGAAGTTGTCAAGGATTTTATTTTACTGGGATCCACAATCAACGCCCATGGAAGCAGCAGTCAAGAAGAAATCAAATGACGTATTGCGTTTGGCAAATCTGCTGCAAAAAGACCTCTTTAAAGTGTTAAAAAGCAAAGATGTCACTTTGAAAACTAAGACGCACCTGACCCAAGCCATGATATTTTCAGTCGCCTCATATGCATACAAAAGCTGGACAGTGAATAAGGAAGACCGAAGAAGAATTGATGCCTTTGAATTATGGTATTGATGAAGAATATTGAATATACCATGGACTGCCAAAAGAACAAACAAATCTGTCTTGGAAGAAGTATAACCAGAATGCTCCTTAGAAGCAAGGATGGCGAGACTTTGTCTCATGTACTTTGTACATGTTATCAGGAGGGATCAGTCCCTGGGGAAGGACATCATGCTTGGTAAAGTTGAGGGTCAGCGAAAAAGAGGAGGACCCTCGACAAGATGGATTGACGTAGTGGCTGCAACAATGGGCTCAAGCATAACAGCAATTGGGAGGATGGAGCAGGACTGGACAGTGTTTCATTTTGTATGTAGTGTCATTATGAGTTAGAACCGACTTGATGGCACCTAGCAACAACCTGTTGGCTGACACTTCCTTGAGTATTTCCTTCATTTTTAGTCATACACACAGGTTTTTCAGCTTTGACATGAGTGTTAGTTTCCTAGTGTTTCTGTAAAACAAATTACCACAAATTTAGTGGCTTAAGACAACCCAAAGTTATTTTATAGTTCTGTGGCATGGAAGTTCAACACGGGTCTCCCTGGGCTAAAATCAAGGTGTCAGGCAGGACTGTGTTCCTTTTTGAAGGTTCTAGGGGAGAATTCTTTTTTTTCTTTTTAATATTTAATTGTATTTTGGTGAAAATATACACAGCAGAACCCACTCCCATTCAGCAATTTCTGCAGATACTGTTCCGTGGCACTGGTTACATTCTTCACATCGCGTCACCGTTCTCATCGTTTCCGCTCTGGTCGTTTCCCTCCCGTTCACTTAGTCTCACTGCCCCCCAACCTTCTCATCTACGCTGTAGAGTAACTGGTGTCCATTCGGTCTCATATCAATAATTTTCTTTAAAGAGCACAATACTCATGGGTGAGCTAACCTGCTATTTAGTTAAAATGTACTTCAGGGATATAATTTAAAAAAAGGGAGGGGAGATTTCAGGGGATAGTTTTACTTCAAGGTTTAAAGAGTATCTCAGGGTAATAGTCTCGGGGATTCCTCCAGTCCTAGTGGGTCCATTAGGTGTGTATTCTTTAAGAATTTGAAGTTCTGCTCCACATTTTTCTAGGGCAGAATTCTTAGTCATTTCCAGCTTCTGGAAGCCACCCGCATTCCTTGGCTTGTGGCCCCATCCTGCCTCTTCAAAGCCAGCAGTGTTGCATCTTTAGACCATCCTTCCGTAGTCACATTTCCTTCTAACTCCTCTTCTGCCTCCCTCTTCCACCTTTAAGGACCCTTGTGATGACATTGGGCCCACCCAGAAAATTGACAATCATCTCCCTGTTTTAAGGTCAGCTGATTTCTAGCAACCTTAATTCTACTTGCAATCTTAATTCCCCTTTGCCGTGTAAGGTGACATATTTACAGGTTCCTGAGATTAGAATGTGGACATTTTCGAAGACCCATTATTCTGCCTCCCACAACATATTCAACGTTGGCATGTTCATTTTCATCCCTTTTCCTTCCCTTTCTTATTTCATCTTAGTGAATAACGTCATCATCTTGATGTGCTGTCTGATCACCTTGGTCAGACATTTGGAAACCATTGTAGGTTCTTCCCTCTTCCTCAGTTCCCCAGTTTAATCTATTGTCAAGTTCTATGTCACTGCCTCCTATACACCTCTGGACCTAGTCTTCTTTGGAGATGCTTTAAGAGCCCCTGTTTAAGGTGATGGAAAAATTCAGTAAACACATACATGCTCACACACACGCAAACATAGGTAGTTCAAATCTAGCAGTTCTTTTTATTTGTACTGCATATTGAAATTCTAACTAATACTTGCTTGGTAGGTGGGCGGAGGGTGAGAGAGGGCACAGAACTTTAAGAGAAGTTTTGAATCACTGATCTAAAGATATACTGTCGAATACGGTAGCCACTAGGCACATGTGGCAATTGAAATTTAACTTGCTGTACCTGCACTATCCAATACAGTAGCGGCTAGCCTCGTGATGGTTTAAACGGATACACATTAAAATGAAATAAAATTAACAATTCAGTTCCACAGTCAGACTAGCCTCATTTCAACTGCTCAGTAGCCACCAGTGGCTACCATATTGGACAGCACAGTCATAGAACATTTCCATCATTGCAGAAAGGTCAATGTATTGGACAACATGGAAGTCTAGAGTATGCCTCACCTTTGCCCAGTACCTGGTGCATAGTAAGCCCACAAGTGTTTGTTAAATGGTTGTAGGCATTCCTTTCCTGAGACAACATGGTCATTTTCTCCCAAGGTTTCCATTTCTTCCATTTCACCTGTCAGTTCCTTGTCAGAATTAAATAGAGAACAACATCCTTCTTGCTTATTCAGCTGTTTGCGAAATCAAATTGTTGGCAGCTCAAGTCAGAGACTGAATGTATATAAAGAAATGTCTGTGAAGAAAGCAGTGTCTTACCCAGCTGGATAGTTTGTAGTAGAACCCTTATGAGGTATTTCAGTTCCCCAGAGTCCCTAGGTGGTGAAAACGGTTAAAGCTCGGCTGCTAACCGTAAGGCTGGAGGTTTGAGTCCAGCCAGAGGTGCCTTGGAAGAAAGTCCTGGCAATCTACTTCCAAAAAATCAGCCTTTGGAAACCCCATGGAGCAGTTCTACTTTGACACACTTGAGGTCACCATGAATTAGAATGCACTTGGCAGCAGTTTTTGGTACTTGGCATTGTGCTTCTCCTGTATGCATTTCCCTATAGGGGTGTGTGGATTGTCAGGAGGGGAGTCAGGGATTATCTTCCCTATATGTATACAGGCAGTCCCCGGTTACAGACATCTGACTTACAGACTACTAGTATTTGCCCTTTAATGTTGTGTAAATTTGTCCTCACTTTGAAACGATTGAACCAACACCAACTGCAACAAATTCCTCACGATCACCTTCACTTGCTGCACCTGCAGCTTTGAAATCATTGAAAAGGCTTCGAGCAAAAAAAAAAAAAAGTTGCTATCAAGTCGATTCCGACTCATAGTGACCCTATAGGACAGGGTAGGACTGTCCTGTAGGGTTTCTAAGGAGTGCCTGGTGGATTTGAACTGCCGATCCTTTGGTTAGCAGCCGTAGCTCTTAACCACTACACCACCAGGGTTCCCACTAAAGTGAGGCTAAATAAGAATCATATGCACCTGTTTCAACTTACCTACATATTCAACTTAAAGACACAGAAAGGAGTGGATCTAGTTTGTTACCCGGGGACTGCCGGTATTTCCTGCTTCTTAAATGTTTGCGTGTGGCGGTGGGGGAGGGGGGGTTATATCTTCCTTGTATTTTTTTCTTTCTGCTGCTGCTTTTTAAATGTTTGTGCTGAAGAAAGCAAGCCCTTCCCTTGGCAAACTCCAGTTCTGAGACCTATTGCAGCAAGCATGAATGCAATCATTGTTGACTTTGTTAAGATTTCCCAACCCTCTTCCCTTCACTTGCTCCTGAGAATCATTGCCAGTGCTCCTCGTTTTGCATAGCTTTTGTATCATTCCTGTTTGTCTTTGTTATCCAGTTTTTCTCTCTGGGCCTTTTTCTAATCTTCTCCCTAAAACAGAGGTTGGCAAACTTCTTCTGTAAAGGGCCAGAGAGTGAATAGTGTAGACTTTGCGGGCCAGACGAGCTCTTAACAGCTGCTCAGCTCCACTGTGGGAGCGGGAAAGCAGCCACAGACAGCAGTGACAGGATGGGCGAGGCCAGGCTTGGCTTGCGGGCTGGAGCCTGCTGAGTGCTGCCCCCAAATGACATTGTAAACCCTGCTTCATCATGCCACAAGGTTCTCAGATCTGCCTTGGTCTCTAAAGTCATAGCCTTCCAGTTCTAGAGTTAAAAGTGCCGGCTGTGCCCTCCTTGCCGTTTGAAAGCATTTAATTCCTGAGGGACTAAATTTCCAGTTTCTTCTGACTATAGCATGTTCCATGTGAATCGGCAGAAGGGGCCAGTGGGACTGGACGAGTCTTGGGCTCTCTAACGCACCTCAGATGTACGTTCCAAGAGACTCCCCGTTCCCAGGTGGCCAGATCTGTGTCCCGTGTTGAGGAATTACTCATCACCACATCCCCTGGGTGCGAGTGCTGTTCCGTGGTATTCTAGATAACATTTATTGAGCACTTACTATGAGCCAGACGCTGTGCCAGGTACTTTACATGCAGTAGAGTATGTAATCCTCATAAGCCCACCATAAGGTCATGATGATTAATCTCTGTTTTACAGATGAGGAATCGGACATTGGGGGATCAAGGACCTTGCCTATGGTCACATCGCTAGTAAGTGGCAGAGCTAGACTTGAACCTTGTGCTAAAAATACGTACCTAAATCCATGTCTCTATGTATTCCTCCATCCACCCGTCTGTTTATTATCTATGGCAAAAGCCTTGGAATCACTGATTTTGACACACACCCTCCCCCTCCCCACACTTTTCTCTTGTTTTTATTTCTTTTGCCAACTTGTCAACGCTAGTTTTAAGACCTCTTAATGCCTCAGTAAGTCTTCCTTCTTGGATTATGATGTCTTCCGTCTTTTCTAGAATATGAAAATGTTTCTTCCTTTCCTATTAATTGGTACATGAAAAGGCATAGCTAAGCTCTTGCATTTGCTGAAACTTGTATTTGTAGCACACATCCTTCAGGTAGGAACAAGACAAATACAGTACTCAGTCTGTAGATAAATGGTCCCGTATCTCTCCTTTCTGTGACAATGGTATGCAGTAGCGTTGTTCTGAGCATCCTCAGAAAGATCGTCCCTGAGAAGTTCTAAGGTGAGCTAATTGTCATTATGTTTGTTGTTGTTGCCCTTTTGTACCTGTTGCCCTTTATGAATCTCCCCAGGTGTTAGTGCCCGTGTTAAAGTCCAGTCCAAGTTCAGCCCGGTTTATTCCACCAGTCGCACAGAGACCTTTGAGCCGAATGTTCCAGACTTTTGACTCTTTTTCTCTCAGGCATCATGAGAATGTTGTTCTTATGATTTTGTATTAGAGGTCTTCCAGTTTCTCTATGAACGTTTAATACATTGGATACTACAGGACGTATCATGGATATATAATTTGAATAGTCTGAAAGCCATATACCTCTGTTTGTATTCTGGAAAGCACGCCAAGTTTAGTGGCACTCTCCCCTACAACATAAGGTGTAAGTAAAAAGTTGAATTCTAGACTTCCTGTTAACTATTTTTGGTTTTCAGTATCGAGTGCTAAAAATGTATATTATTTTTCATTTAATTAGGGGGCATATATTGAAGACAATGTCTGGAAGCTTCTACTTTGTAATTGTTGGCCACCATGATAATCCAGTTTTTGAAATGGAGTTTTTGCCACCTGGAAAAGCAGAATCCAAAGTATGTATGGAGCCTTTAAAAATTTCGTAAGGTGTTGTTAGGATGTAGTAATGATAATGGTGTTATATGATCTTAGAACTGGAACAGACCTAGACAGATGAGTTTGTGGAAATCCACCACAATCATTGAGGCTTGCTCCAGAATCCCACAGGTTGATAGAAGCCAGCCAGGGAATGTTCTCTGAGTTGTTTATCCAACGCACACTTGTTGAACACATACTAGCATGATGCTCAAAGTCTCTTGTCCCTGCTCTCCAGTCCACCAGGTCACTTACTCTGAAATGCTGCTAGCTTAAGCACAGAGAGACAGTCCACCGCTAGTGGGTCTGGAAGAGCAGGCGTGGCTGCCTTGAGACGCCACGACAAGCCCATCGTGTTACAATGGATCTGACTTTTCGTCAGGATGGACTACGCTCAGTCTACACCTGGGAGGGTTAAAAGAGGACCTTACTGTCCTCCTGCTGACCCTGAGTCTCCAGCACCCAGTGTTCAGGGAACTTCCATAGCACTCACTGGCTGGAGGCTCGCCTCCCACGTCACCCTGGTCGTGTGCCGGAAACAGGAAAACGGCACTGGAGGTGCTGCCACTCACCTTCCGCGTTGCCGAGGGTGGTTCCAGAAGGACAAGCTTGCTTCACGAACGTGCTGCCATTCCGAGTAAACAGAAGCTAGAGAGGCTTGGGATGAGAATAGCCAGGTCCTTTCCATCTGTTTCTACGAGTCCACGTTCCTAAGAAATTGCTGAAAAGTTACGCTCTTTCTCCCGACCTCCAAAAGTAGGCTGTAATGTGCTTTAAGATAAGAATTGGTTTTTTAAAATTAATTTTAATGCATAATTTCCAGTGTATGATGCTTTTCAAATATTCAGATCTTGCCTGGAAAATAGGATAGACATTTGTTTGAAGTATCACCTACCAGGTGGTATTGCTGGATTATTTCCTCACATTCACGTGAGAATACTGCTCATTAAACGTTGGTTTGCAGGTATCCCTGTAGCAGTGGCTGCTTTGTGGTACACGACGACTTATAGAGCATTTCTGTGCCCTCAGATTGCCTTGTGGTGGGCAAGGCAGTGCATGGAAAAATATTTTGTCACCTGACCTGATCTTAGTTCTTTCTCCAGCCACCACTCACCTTCTTAAAGCATTTCAACAGTGTTCTCCTAACCTCTCAAGATTGATCATCACTGTAAAATAATGGAAGATGCTGCTTTGAGCCAGACACACACTAGATCCATTTCTCTTAAGGATTTCATTAGCTTTGTCACGGCAATGTGAGTGAAGTCGGCATGCTTTAGCTGAGTCAAGTCAACATCCTTCAGCTGGGCAAGGGGCTCCGGGGCAACCAGCGGCCTTCCTCCAGCCTAGCCATGGGAGCAGCCTCCTCAGCCAGGAGGGGGCCTTTGAAAAATGCATTTGAAAGAGAGCATTGCCCAGGGTGCAGTCCAGGCTATGTGTTCTTTCTCCACATTGTGGTGGGACATCTTCACCTTCTCCGATGAAGCCATTGCAGCCCACGAAAGAGATAGGACTTGCTGCTGTTGCCACAGGTGACATGGTGTCTGCTCACAGCTGGGGCTGAGCATGTCGCCTTGCTATGTAAGCTTCATTCACCTGAAAGAGACCTATGTCATTCTGAGTGCCACCTCCTCCACTGTCTCTGCCGTTCACGTGGTGCCACTGCCTAGGAAGCCCTCCCCTCGCACTTCCTCCCGCTCCTCAAGGCCCGGTGCAAAGAACACTTGTGTGGAGCTCTCCTGCATCGCCTCCTTAGTCCTGTCCTGCTACATTGCAGTCCCTTATCCACATCCCTGATGCATTTTTTCATGTCATTTGCCTCTAGTAAGATGGGAGCTTTTTGAAAGCAGGACTGACTTTTTTAACAGTATTTTTTTTTTTCACGTGCTTGAAATGGTTATACAATCAGTAACTTCTGTCTTACAACATGAAAAAAACCATTCTCTATTTAATTTCTTGAGCACATTCCATTTGTTAATTGACTATGTTTCTCTTTGTTGAGTTTTAGACATCAAATTACAAAACAGAGTATTATGTGAACACACGGGTTGTATCATGACAACAATAAAGGAAGGAAAAGCGGAACTTGGTTTTCCCCACGAGGAGACCATATATAGCGATTGATGGGATGGTGGCATTCTTGGTGCTGCACGGGGCTGTTAATCTTGCTGCTCCCATTGTCATCCAGGATGATCACCGTCACCTGAACCAGTTCATCGCTCACGCCGCTCTCGACCTCGTAGATGAGAACATGTGGCTGTCTAACAACATGTACTTGAAAACTGTGGACAAGTTCAACGAGTGGTTTGTCTCAGCATTTGTTACTGCTGGTCATATCCTTACCGTTTATATGTAAGCGAATGTTGGGTCACCAGATCCGAAGAACATGGACCGTAGGTGCCAGGCTCTCAGTCCATGGGCTTCAAAGAGTCAGGTAAATAAATATGTACACGTTGCCATTTACGGCGCTTCAAACATAAGAACATTTTGTTTAAGGATTGATTTTAAAACCAAGTCTCATCTGTAAAACTAAGGGTCATCTGAACCATATCAAGAGAAATTTATTTTGTGGTTTATCTTCTAACTAAAAACACCATTATGTTCTCTTTAAGATAAAACTAACCTAACTTTAAACCCATCACAAAAACTTTACCATCACAAAATACACCGCACATGATTATTTGAGGAATAGTCTATCGACCAGTTGCTTTTCATTTTTCATTTCTAAGAAAGATTCTACCTTAACTGTTTCACATATGAGATTTATCATGCTTCATGACATAAGGCAAGAAGATGGAATAAAGAACTTCTTTACCGATGTCTACGATTTGTATATAAAGGTATGGTATGTTCTAGAATTTTCTAAATCTGATCATGCAAAGGGATTCTTACTTTGACAGGAAGCTGACTGTTGGAGTCACCCTGTTATGCTGTAGTTTTCATCCCAGGCTAGCTTTCCCCCATGGTCAGAGCTACCCCTAGCCGCTTCTTCAACAAGCACGTCCTCACCGCCGGGTGGACATGTATTTAGGAAAACAACTCGTGGAGGTGAATCTGCTTCCTTCTCTGCTTTTAGTGTATATCACTGATTTGATTAGGGTACCCTAAAGGGAGGCAAGGGAAACTGGCTTTATAATTTTAATCTAAAATGTTTTCCATCTATTTTATTAGTATGTTGCAGTGTAATAAATATAGATCCTAAACTGCCAGGAAGTGATTCTTACATTATCAGATAGTCACTCAAGGAGAATGGCACCATCTACATTTCTTGATATTTCATTGAAAAAATAAAATAGCAATAGGATGTCAGTGGTCAAACTGCAGTGCTAACGAAAGTTATGTTCTTAATAATTTAAATGTGTTCTGTATTTGGACAGGATTTCTTGCATATCAGCACGGGAATAAAATGTTAACAATCAGTATTCCTAGTCAGAGGTAGCAAAGAAGACTATCTAGCCCTGGTGGTGCAATGGTTAAGTGCTCGGCCGCTAACTGAAAGGTTAGTGGTTCGAACCCACTAGCAGCTCCACCAGAGAAAAGACCTGGCGATCTGCTGCCATAAAGGTTACAGCCTAGGAAACCCTATGGGGCAGTTCTATGTCACCTGGAGTTGCTATGAGTCGGGATTGACACCACACAACAGTCCTTTTTTAAAACTGGACAATACCAAGTAATTAAGGTGTAAAAATCAGTAGCTCCTTTTCTCAGTAGTAATTCCATTTAATATTAGTCATTTTCTCCCACATAGGTTATGATACACTTGTTCCTTTATCTGAGAAACTGATCATTTATTTAGCCTTGTGTTAGAGGAGAGTATTAAAAACCTGATTTTAAAAAAGCTACCACAGAAGAGTAATTTTAATAGCAGTGTGGCATAACCTTTTCATAGTTCTGAGCATATTGCAGATTTTATTTATTTATATTTCTGTAGCAAAGGGCTTTTTTTACAAGATTAGTCCATATGTTTACAATGAATACCAGTAGATGAGTATTTCACACTGAGGGTGACTCCTGAAAGTTAACTTAGACAGTCAGTACTTGTCATACTACCCGGAGTTTTCCACAGGTGCTTCTCAAAACTAAAACGCCAGAACAAAAATTCCCTTACAAGGGGACATGAGGATTTAACAACAGATGGAGCATTTGAGATGAAATCTTAAGACGTGGACTTCAGACTTTTGTTTTGAATGTCTCTGATGACTTCTTTTAATTTAAAGCTTTAAAATAATTTCCTTTTGGTTGGTCAGCCTTTTTAATTTGACAGGATCACTAAAACCTTCTTCTTTCCTAGTTTGCAATGAATCCATTTTATGAACCCAATTCTCCTATTCGATCAAGCGCATTTGACAGAAAAGTGCAGTTCCTTGGGAAGAAACACCTTTTAAGCTGAACGTGGCGGAATTCTGAAATAAGCAATGTCACCACAATGAGGTGTACTCAGGAATGTGTGCTTTGTAAGTAACCTGATTAAATCGCCTGGAAAACTTTTATTTGTTGTAGTCTCAGTTTATCTAAACCTTGTGAAATTACTTTTCTATTTAAAAGTAGTACATTCAGTTTCTTGTCAATTATCAACAGATCAGTATTTGCCTGTGAATGTTATTTGTAAAGAGCTCTTTATCAGTAATCGCGAAATAATTTTATTTTAAAAATTGAGAGTAAGCTTTTTAAAAATTGAGAATAAGCTGTCAACTTGCCTAAGGCAGAGAGCTTTATCTTGATTTTAACAAACCAAACACAAATGTCAGAGTCAAGATTTGGTACCGATTTGAAACAAAAAGCTTCTGCCATGGAGAACAAAGTCGACAGCTGGCACATATGATGGCTTATTTATATATACCTTTAGTGATAATGTTGTAAAAGTGTAGAGGCAGTGAGCAAAGCAGTACGCAAGAAGCCAAAATCAAAGGCTTTTGTGGTGCTAAATGTCACGTGCCTGCCTGTGTTTAGTGATCCTGCTATAATTCTAGAATCCTGGATCCATGTTTGTGGATACTTCTATCACTTGGGACTATAATAACCTTATGTTCTTATATTCCCTTTCCCTCAGACAGTAAACTAAGGATTAAGTGAACCTGTTAATATCTGTACTCCTTAAGATATAAGGCTATTTTAGAACTGCAATCAAAGAAAAGATTGGATTACATTAACATTTGCACTGTTAGCCTTCTAGGCTGTACTGGGAAGTCAGTGGGAGTGGTTTTTTTTGTATTGTAATAAGTATGGGATCTTTCTGTAAAATGACAAATGTCCATTGAACAGCAAGTAATATAACCACGTATTTTCTGTGCTAATTATGAACATTTGAAAAATTGTGTTGCATTCTGAATAACTTTAGAACAAGTAATTCTAAGCTTGGTACTATATCCTTGTGTGAAGTTGCTACCATAATTTTTTTTACCCTGTGTATTTATTTGATCCTTAAATAAAGATGTTTGTCCAAGATTGTGGTACTTTAATGCCTAATTTTAAAGTGATGACTCCCTCACACACACCATTTTAGTCTATTTCCCCTATTGAACATTTGTAAACTAATATATCTTAACCCGTTAAACAGAGCTCAAATGACCTCAAACTAATGCCAGAGCTTCTGAAGTGGAAAAGTCCTCATCTAGAAATCTATGAGTAATTTCAGCTATGTTAGTTGGAGAGACCCAGACGTGTATTTATTGTATATGCTTTGCCCTGCCCTCCATGAGCTTGCAGTCCAGAGCACTGTAATGTAAACCAGCCAGGAGCAGCAGCACGGTGTTACAGCCGGAAGCTGTAGGGGTGGGAGGACTTCACTTCAGGTCCTGACTCAGCAGCACAAAGGTGGTACCACCCAGAGCGGCCCTGCCCTCCAGGCTCGTGAGGGTGAGTGAGGTAGGAACGATAATGTTAGGCATTGCGTTAAGTATATCGCAGTCATTAAACACTGAATTTCATGTGTGACTGTGTCTTTGGAGGAGTTCAAAAGGGAAGTCCAGCAATGAGTGTGATGGGGTGGGACCTGAGGTGAGCAGCCAGCAAGGTGTGGAGGAGAGAATCACTGGGGCGTGGGCTGTAGGACACAACCAGGATTGGGTGTAAGGGGAAAACCTGGGGCCAATCACAGGAAGGCCAAAAAGCCAGAAAATTCAGGCAAAGCTTAGATGTGGTTTCTGAACACGAGAGCAATGGGGAGAAATCGGTTTTGAGATCAGTGGCCACCCGGTAGTCAGGCGCCTCTGAGCACACGTATGTCGGCACTGAGTTTGCAACCCACGTTAGCCCCCAAAAGTGATGGAAATAAAATGCACAAATCGGGCTTTGTCCACTTTCTACAGCCGGAAATACTTCCTAAGATGCTTCACTGGGTGTCCATGTTAATTAGACATGTGTATAGAGCCTGTCCATCTTTGCTGTGCCCGGTCTACACCTGTGTTCTGTACCTTTTCAGCCACGTCAGTGCTTCCTGGCTGACGGCCACAGCATTAGCTTCTCAGAAACCACTGACCCTACAGACTCCACCCTTGGCTGGACACACCCTGGTGCATTTTTAAAGGCAGTATTTTAAGACAAGGAACATTTGGGATGTTTTAAGTGCAACTAGGCATTTTTCACAAGGATGAAGAAAGTGACAAAACATTCGGGGTGAAGAGTAATCCATGGATGGGCTGGTAGTTTTCCATCTTACACACATCGTAATTGCTACATCAATTGTCAGGTGTACATTTGTCCATTCTCCAAGTCTGGTATTTTTCCCTTCTTAAAACTGAACTCTTTATAAAGGCTTTACGTTCATGGACAGCATGGGGCTAGCTGGATGTGTGAGTGTTAGACCCTGTATGGTGAACAACAGTTCTGTAATATTGGGGACCCTCCCTCATCCCCTAAACTGTGGGGCATAATCTAGTTCTTCTTGCCTTAGACTTTCCTTCCTTGGAGGCTCTGCAGTTTCTTCTCACCACTCCTGTCTTCTATTGTTTTTCCCGTATTTCTCATCGTTGTAAAGGTGACTCCAGCTAATCAAAGCACCTTTTCTTGAAACAAAAGGCTCATCCGGTTTTCAGCAATCTTTTGCTGCCGGTTGAAGAGGTTTTCCATCAGTTGCAGTCTCTTTGAAGGCTGAAGCCATTCTGTAGGTTTTGTTTCTCCTCCACTAACGAGCCCGTGTTCACCGTATCCATTTAAGACCCCATGGAAAGCTGGAGTGCGTTGTACAACCTTTCTCTAATACCTGAAGATCTGTTCCCGTAAGTTTTTGCTGCTCAGCTCTAGCACTTTTGAAAGCCAACTAATCTAATCCCTGAATATTTAGCTGAAAAACTTTACTGAAAGATGTTAAAAATGTAATAGCAGTAAGGTACCTACACACGTGTATATACGCTTTCCTTACGTACTAAATACCCAAGAAACCGATACACGGCTGCCTCCAGGGACAGGAACTGAGCGTGGGGGTGGATTTGTCCCTTGTGCCTTATGATGTTGAACCATGTAACTAGTATCTAGTCAAAAATTAACTTACAAAATTACTCAATACTCATTGTTGACCAAAGTGTGGGAAGCTGGCACGTTCACATACTACTGCTAGTGGAAGTGTCAGCTGGTGCTGTCTTCTGTGGGGAACTTCGCAACACTGATGAATATTCTCAATACCAATGTCTCCCAGTAGAGACCAGTTTGAGTAAATTGTTACACATCCACACAGCTAATACACGAGGTTGGTCTTCTATAATGGAAGTATGTCCAGATGCATTAAGAGAAACAGGCAAGTCACCAAAGAATGGGTACACTTGATTTTTTAAAAAAAAAAAAGTCCTTAGAGCAAGTCTGCTAAAGAAAAGGATACCTATTTTGTTTTTTGGATGATTAGTTCTGTTGTTTTTTTTTTGGAGGGGGGATGATTATCTATAAATAAAACCACAGCTCTGTGTAGTATGAGAATAATATGAAGAGATTTAATTTCCCCCAATTTAAGATGCTTCCTTTCGGCAAATTTGCCCGTTAAGTTACTGTAATGATAATCGTTTTCAGCGTTTCCCAAGGGGGTGGGGCTAGGGAAGAGGGACGAAAGTCTAATTTTTCAAACTCCACCCACCACCCCCCAGCATGTCCTTTGATAACATCACCTAGCCACAGTTGAGGAGCTTTGTCCACACTGACCCTGACCTAGGCTTTGGTTTGCACCTGTAGGGTCACTGTCAAGGGCACAGCACGAACTGTCCTCACGAAAGACTGCAATTGGCTTTAGCAGGTCTAGACATAGCAGCAAGTCCCTAAAGGACAACCCAAATTCCTGGGAGCCAATCACTAGCATTTTCTTAGCTTGCTGGTCCCAACAAAATAGGCACGAGCTGGATGTGGGTCACTGGCCAGAGTTCACCAGTTCTAAAGAATGAAGATTTTTTTAAGCAGGCAATCAATCTGGTTATATTCAGAATGCATGGTGTTCAGTGATAAAGACAATAAATGCATGACCAAGTAAAGACGTTTTCATTTACCCTCAAGCAACGTATGCTGTTTTTCCTTCAAACCTGATAAAGTTAGCCTCTACGTTCCTGTGGGGGAGAGGCATGTGGGGCAAAAATGCTGGGTAATTCCACTGATACCAAACCCGCTGCCAACTCATAGTGACCCTACAGCACGGAGTAGAACTGCCCCGTAAGGTTTCCAAGGCTGGAATCTTAATGGAAGCAAACTGCCACATCTTTCTTCCGTGGAGCAGCTGGTGGGTTCAAACCACTGACCTTTCAGCTACACCACCAGGGCTACTACCCATCAATTCTACTGATATTTAGAATGAAAACAGGAACAGTTAAATCACTGTACCTAGAATGAAGTAATCAAATCAAAGAACAACGCATTGTACTGCATTAGATTTTAATCTTTAATACCTAACATTATTGCTTCTGGAAAAGTTTTCCCCCCAACCAAGAATGGGATGCTAATTACATAAAAATATACACATATAAAAAGTAGTTCTCCATTTTCCTGGAAAAAATAATCCAAGGATAACTTCTACAATATTCAAGTTTCGTGTTTTAATTATAATTAAAGTCTTGGTCATCTCACTTATTAGCTCTGTAACATACTTAAATTAAAGAAATCTTATTAGACAGCCGTTACAATTTAGAAATGTAAGGTGCCATTATTCAGTAAATAGATTCCTCCGTGAGTGGCTGTGCCCCTTCTCCCACCCAGTAAGGAAGCAGCAACATCCATTAGTTTAACTTTATTAGTAGATGATATCTTGCTGCAAACACGAATTTACCCACACTCGTACTTATGTTGTGTGTATGTGTGAGCTGGTTAGAATGCCCAGCGATCTCTTTAATGATCAACAGCAAGATGAGCTAGGCTTGGGCTTCCGGTGCAAATTGACCGTGTCTGTGTGAATCAAGTGATCCGACCTATCCTCGGTAGCGAGAACTCTTCGAGCTGCCTCCTCAAAGGCTGCTGCGACATTAGTGGCATCTTTTGCACTTGTTTCAAAGTAAGGATAGTCGCCGTTGTCCCTGCACCAGGCTTGGGCTTCTTCTGCAGACACCTGTCGTTCACTTATGTCAACCTTGTTACCCAAAATCACAAAAGGAAAGCTTTCCGGCTCTTTCACATCTGCATAATATATGAATTCTTTCTTCCAATTACTCAAGTTCTGGAAGCTTTGAGAATCATCGACACTAAAAGTAAGCAGGCAACAGTCAGAACCTCTGTAAAACGGCGTCCTCAGGCTCCTGAATCGCTCCTGACCGGCTGTGTCCCAAATCTGCATGGTAACAAAATGGCCATCCACCTCCAGATCTTTATTTAAAAATTCCACACCTATTGTATGGAACAGCTGGGTATCAAATTTATTGGTTACATATCTGTTCATAAGAGAACTCTTCCCAACTCCACCATCTCCAAGGAGAATCACTTTAAAAAGTGATGATTTTCCTGCCATTGTTAAAGTCACCAGATCTTTGACTTCAGAACCCTGTAAAATAAAAAGGTACCATTACATTCCTCTACATGAGTCAATGAGTATCAGTGTGCAAATGAGGTAACATATACAGCCCCAATTGCTTGGTGCAAAGGGACTAGCCAAGAGTAAGCACTGTGTTTACTGGGCACGAGCTCAGCTACTAACCAAAAGGCTGGCAGTTCGAATCCAACAGCCACTCCCCGGAAACCCTATGGGGCAGTTCTATGCCCTATAAGGTTATTATCCTACCATGATTCCCTAAACTGGGCTTACTCTTCCCTTTTTGCAGATCACAGCTTGCTGTGAAGCTGGCACTCAAAAGGCCAAGTCTGAACCCAAAAGACCTTGCTTTCAACAGTTACTCTACACAATAATCACCCGCTACTCACAATAAGCCCTGTCACCATTTGTTAAGATTCAGTAAGAGACTGAAGTATGCAACTTTCTGTAAAAATTTCAAATGACCCTTCAGTGTCACAGGGACACTGTTCACTGATGGCTTTCCTCTCGTGCCAAGGGTTTTCTTTACTTTCTCTTGTATAGGAGCTGTTAAACAGGAAAGACAGAGAGTAGCTGACTGATCTAGCTATGAAAAAAAGCCAACCACTGAGTAAATGGGTGTTCATTAGGAACACCATTTTGAGTTTGCTAAAGTTAATTTCAGCAGCAATATAATTTTTAATATCCTAATCTAAAACATTCTGTCCATAAGATCCATTTGAGCAGCTCCATCTCTCAGCAAATTCGAGCCTGTGCTGTTACTTGTGTGTTTTGAGGTGGAATGAAATAAGCCTTAAGTGAAAATGTGATGCTACACAGATCCTTTAGGAGAGGTCCTGGGGCAGGATTAACAACTTTCCCACACTACAGGAAGCAGCCTGTGTGGGTGACATTTCATCTGCCTGTTTACAAGTAGCGACTTCTAAGTGCTGGTGTGAGCACTGTTTCTATTTAGTGCTTGTGTCTTAACTTTTTATTACGGAAAACTTCAAACATACATAAAATTTCCAAATAATGACAATGTCATAAAGTCCCGCGAACCCTAAACCCAGCTTCACCAATTATTAACTTATGGCAAATCCTGTTTCCTTCCATAACCCCCTACTCTCCCTTCTCCCCAGTTACTCTTAACCAAATTATGTCATTTAATCTGTAAATACTTCAGTATTAAGTGGCTTTTAAGTATACTAAAATTTGTCAAAGAAAACAACCTTCTGAGTAGTACTGTCCAACAGAGTTTTCTGCAATGAGGGAAATGTCCTACATCTGTGCAGTACAATATGGAAGCCACTAGCCACATGTAGCTATTGAGCCCTTGGCATGTGGCCGGTAGAAGTGAAGAACTGAATTTTGAGTATTATTTAATTTTAATTAATTTAAATAGCCACATTCAATAGGTGTATTGAAAAGCACAGCTCTAGAGCAAAAATGGTGAATCCCTGAATGGGAAGGTAATAAAGACACTATAATCATTATACTCATGAAGATGAATTTGCAAAACCACTGCAGGAAGCATTATATGGCTATCCCCTGGTTCTATGCAAACGTAACCCAGTATAATGTAACTGAACACTTCCTGTAATGTAAAACAATTATGCATTTCCAACTGCATGCTACACTCTTCTGGTAAAAACCTGTAGCAATTGATTGTATATAGAGAGATCAAGTTAATGGGAAAATATGACTTTAAAGTGACGGGACATAGTCCAATTCTTACTGGTCCTTTTAAATGACTGCTACAGTAATTAATAGACTTTAAACTGTCCAACAAAATTGTGAGGCAGTCAAGGTGCATACCTCTTGTAGACTTTTTCTATTTCAAATGTATCGCTCTGTTCAACACCCAGACTAAATAGATGCTACAGAGGAAATCAAAACAACCTCAAACCCCCTAAATTTCCCAATGTAGGTAACAATGCACTAAATTGGCTGCTTTATTTCTTTTGAATCTTGCTTAAACAACTTCACCTTATAGAAAAAAGTTGAATAAAACTAAAAAAGCAAACCAGCTGCTTCAACATAGGGAAAGCATCTATATAATACCCCCTTCAGAAAGTTCTTCAACGGTTCTCCAGGACCAAGTCCACCTTCTAAGTCAAGACATCTGGCCCCTGCTCACTGGGCTGCCCCCTTACCTCCCACCATTCTGAAACGCACTGTCAAATGGAATTGGAACTCAATTCCACTAGCTTGCCTCCGAATTCCCCCCTGCCTTCAGGCCTGGTATCTGCTCTTCCCTCGCTCCCTCGGCTTGTAACCCCATGCCCAATTTACCTAACTAACTGCCGCTCCTTCAGAACTGCTCAGCAGAATCATCACCTCTTCTGGCACCATTCCCCAACCGCCCCCGGGGGTTCCTTTCACATCATTTTTAAACTAAACACAGAAGTTTCATGTTGTGTTATGAAGGTGTAACAATGTGCCTAACTGCAGCCTATCATTTATCCCAGTATTTGAAGTCTCGAATAGTCTCACTGCCTTACCAGACGAAAAGGTTTATTATACAGCATTGAATTTCTAGAATCTTTAAATAAAACTGTAAGCCAGGTCACGCCATCTAACAAACCCCAGCCAGATTACCAGTTGCATATATATACCCAATTAAGTCTTAGAAATTGCTTGAGATTCGTAATTTATACTTTTATCAGGCCACGTTGACAGTTCTTTTCTTTTTTCATAATAACGTGAGAGCTCCTCATAGTTTATGCCATTATTTTGACCAAACAAATCTGTGGTATGCTAGATCCACACACCAGGAAATAGGGTACAATTTTTACATTTCTCACAATTTGGGGCCTTCCAGATATGAGTATCCGGGAATATATTGGCATTTATGAAACCAATATACACATGAACATCTCTCTTAATCTAACTGCAGAGTTGTATATAAACATATACAGTGATATAAGATTATACAAATTATGTCTAATTGACATCTAACAAAAGCTACGTTCATTCAGTCTATACATTAACATAACCATAATCAGCTTATGGACATTAAAAATGTTTTCTTCTCTAAAAACAGAAAAATCATTCGAAACTTCTTTAGCTTAAGTTAAATGAATAAAGTTATCCTACTATGTTATTTTCAAAATTTACCTTAAAATGAAGTCTCTTGTATTCCAGAGTTTGGAAAGACTGCCCAAAGTCAATAATCTTCACCAAGGTTAAACATTACGTTAGCAATTCAGCTAAATTCTATAAATAAAGAAATTCGAATAAGAACAGCATATTACATAGGTCATAAAGCTTACCTAATTGTTCAGTTCAAGCATTATCACCTGCAAAGAAAAAAATCAGAAAGCTCACCTTAGCAACGTCTATTTGATTTGTTTTCGTCATTTTAAGAGTAAAAACAAAAGAATTAAAAGGTGAAAGAAATCTCTCTGACTTACGTTAGCAACCTTTCTCAGCCTAAAAAGTCCTAGATTCAAACATTAGACTTTGATCTTTGTTTTTTCAAAAACAGCTTTTTGCCTGCCCACCCTTTTCTAAATTTCACACTCACAGACAAAATTATGTTAATTATATGATGTATTCATATATATTATAAGCCAAGGCAAAACTGAAAACTCTCTTGTGACTGAATAAAAGTGCCCTGTCAGAAAGGAGAACTTGTTCCTATTTCCAAAGGCCAAGAGTGCAGACCTGCAGCCGAGCTACTCCACATCCTCACACCCCGAAGTCTCCCGGGAACCATGGTGACAACAGTACCTACCTCCTGGGCTGGTTGGAAGGATTCACTCAGATAGTGGGTGAGAAGTTTGTCATCACAACGCCAGGCTCATGACAGGAGCGCAGAGGTTTCTGTGGAGTGAATAAAGGAATCAGTCTTTAACTGGCAGTTATACGGAAAGTCCTTTTTGTAGCCCTTTCTGGGGTCCAACTTCAGTGAGAATTAGGCAGGGCAAGTGAGAGGACTGTGCAGCTGTTCATTAGGAAGCGCAAGGGTCCTAGTCCTGGTGCTCAAACTCACCTCAGGCTTCCCAGCGACGACTATTACTGGAACTGGGCTAAACTACTAGGCTCTCTCAGTCTAAACCAATCATTTCAAACGTTAAATTAAAAAAAAAACAAATCAAAAGGCATTTTTGTGGGACTTACATGTAGCAGTCCTTAACTTATATATTCAACCAATGAAAAAAAAGGGACTGTTCAAAATCCCGACTCTGGGAGTTAAGGATAAAACAATGTTAATAATAATTATTATAATAATAGCAGCTAACACTAATTGAGCCCTATGTTACTTACCGTGCTACAGTGCATTTGCTCCTCACAGTCTATTCTGATTCCTATGTTACAGATAAGGAGCCTTGGTGGCACAGTGGTTAAATGCTTGGCTGGTAACCAAAAGGTCAGCAGTTCGAACCCACCAGCTGCTTCATGTAAGAAAGATGTGACAAAGATGTGGCATTTCTGCCTCTGTAAAGATTTACGGCTTTGGAAACCCTACGGGGCAGTTCTAACCTGTCCTATAGGGTCCCTATGAGTCGCAATCAACTTGACAGCAATGGGTTTTATATTACATATAAGGACACTGACTCAGAGAGGTTAAGTACCTTGTCCACAGTCACACAGCTAGTAAAAGGTGGCCATAAGGTGTGAATGCAGCAGACAGACTCTAAAGCCCAGGCACTTCAGCCACCAGGCTATGTCAATCTCAACTGCCTTTGCATTTACTTCTGAGCGTTTGACTGTCATTGTTGCAGATATAAAGAAAAGAAGCAGTTACAAGCTGTAAGTCTTTCAACTGCTTGCTTTATTTCAAGATCTGCACAAAAACAAGTTAACCGACAAAACTAGTAGTCTCCAATCTGTTGACATGTAGTGTAAAACACATCTGAAAGTACATATGTTTTATTAGAGTTTAAAAAGTTTTAAACATTTTTTAAAATGAAGTATGAATCAAATGTTCGCAGAACTCTGCAGCCACTCCACAGAAGTCTAGTTAGTGCTTCATGGAACGAGCTGGAAAAGTTTGCCAGCAAGGATTTACTGAGTGGCTAATATGTGCCAGGCACTGGGGATGCAGAACAGACACAGTCCCTGCCTTGTGGAGCTGGTCGTTTGGTGGCGTGACAATCCTCACACAAACACATTTATGTTACAGCTGTGGGCAAGTACTAGAAATGAGGTACATGGTGTAAGAGGATGAGAGTACAAACAAGAATTACAACGTGAAAGAAATCTCTCTCTGGCTTGTATTAGCAGCTATCTTAAAACCTGCTGGATTCTTAACATAAAAAGAACTATCACACTCAGCCGTAAGCCAAATAACAAAACAGCGCAGGTGAGAGATGGAGGAGTGAGAGATTGGTGCGCGGACCTGCAGCTCCCTCAGTCAGACCCAGGCCCCACCTGCAGGTACGTCGCCCAACTCAGTGTGATTCTAGCATTCGAGGGTACTTCATTTTCCTCTAGCATGACCCCAGAACACAAGCCAGCTACGTCACCTGCCGCTCAGTTAAAGAAAAAGCACAACTTCCAACACCGGAGGAAAACTGGGCTGGGGTCAACTTATTGAGAAACCGTTCACTGGCTTCCGGCGTGGCCTGCTCCCAAGACCCATCTCAATGATCATTTCAGCCATATGGGTCCTTTCAACCCAGCCTCCCAAAGGTCTGCCTCCAGTACTGTAGGAGGATTTGACCCCAGGGAAGGGCTCTGACCCCAGGCTTGTCCGTGGCAGTGAGGATTAGCTAAACTCAGCAGGAGGAGGAGGAAACACCAGGATGCAGGCGCAGCCCAGGCCACCGCCCTGCCAGGGAAGGAAGGCCGCCATGGGCCTGGGGGTGAGCAGTGAGCCGTGGAGACGGGACCGGAGGGGGAGGCCCTGTGGCGGCCAGGGCCTTAGAAGCCACGGGATGGATTTCTGACCATACCCTAGGAATGACGGGGAGCCAAAGAAATCCTTTCACTAGTGGGGCGACCTGGCCAGATGTGGGGTTCAGCAAGGTAACTGGCTGTAATGGAAAAGCAGCTGCAGGTGAGGACAGGAGGAAGGGCTCGGGCAGAACTTGGGCGATGCCGTTATGATCCCTCTCAAGTACCAACAGTCTCTGCTGGGTGTAGGATTAAAAATGGAGGTCGCTGTGCCTCATACTTTATCCTCCAGTAAAACATTCATGCTGTGACTTCATGCTTCACATTGTTGCCCTTTGGCTCCCTCCTCTTGCTTCCTAATCAACCCTGAAGATGCAGCTAGGCCTCATTTCCTACTCACCACCTACCAGGCACCTCCAACTGCACCCCCTGCTGCGCTCCTCGCACATCCAGCCCATGCCTCTATCATTTACCATGATGCAATGTTGTAATGGACGTGCCTACGTGCATCTAATAAAAACTAAACATGCTCTCCAAAAAGATTCCATTGTTTAGACTATACCAAAAACTATGATACCAATCTTACCTTAAAATCACTTCCCCCCAAAAAGAAAATAAAACTTTACCAAAAATGGTCCCAGGGGTGCGGAAAGAAATGATCTAAATGCCTTAACCGGGGGATGTTCTGCCACGACTCAAGAGGCCATGGAAACATGGCGCTGTAGAAATAAGCTAAGTGAAAACACAAAGCAGTCAGCACGCCACACCACCACCAGGCAGAACCTTACATGCTTATAGTAAAGTTTGGAAGAAAACAGAATAATCAATATTGAGTTCAATGTTCCAAGTTCTGATATGGTTGCAAAACCATACTTTTGTTTTTTTTCAATATCAAAACGATTTTAAAGCTTCATTTTCACTTCAAACCTTAGTTTGACTGAATGCCGCAATTAAAATTAAATGGAAATGATTTTCTTTTAAATTTTCTTCAAATGCAGCTATATACCAAACCTCAAAAACAATCCTTTCCTAAATTTTTTCTGTAACTCAGAACATGGTAAAAATGAGACTCGATATGACATCAAAAGCATAAGCCACAAAAGAAAAAGCAGATAAACTGGACTTCATCAAAATAAAAAACTGTTGTGCTTCAATGGACACTATCAAGCAAGTGGAAAGACAACCCAGAGAATGGGAGAAAATATGCAAATCATAGATCTAAAATATATAAAGAACTCTTACAACCCAACAATAACAAAAAAAACGAATTAAGAAGTGGGTGAAGGACTTGAATAGACATTTCTGCAAAGGTGATATACAAACGGCCAACAAGCACATGAAAAGATGCTCAACATCATTAGAAAACAAACCCACTGCTGTCGAGTCGATTCCAAATCAAAGCAACTTTATAGGACAGAGTAGAACTGCCCCTTAGGGTTTCCAAGGCTGGAACCTTTATGGAAACAGACTGCTACATCTTTCTCCCACAGAGTGGCTGGTGGGTTCAAACCCCCGACCTTTTGGTTGGCAGCCAAGCGCTTAACCACTGCGCCACCAGGGCTCCCTTATTAGTCATCAGGGAGATGCAAAATCAAATCCACAATGCGATCCCACTTCACATGGAAACTAACAAGTGTTGGCAGGATGTGGAGAAACTGTAACACCCTGGGATACATTGCTGATGGAAATATAAATTGGTGCAACTGCTCTGGAAAACAGTCTGGCAGCTCCTCTATGTTAAACACAGAATACCATATGACGCAGCAACCGCACTCCCAGGTGCATCTCCCAGGGACTCCAGATATTACTACAAATCACTGAATTGTATTTTTGAAAAGGGGGAATTTTATGGCACGTGACTTACAGCTTCAAAAAAAGGAGACCTAAGAATTAGAAATGAGGCCCTAGAATGAGATTTACACAGAGCCGCACTGTCCATTCAGCAGTGTCCTTTTCAATAAACCAGTTACAGGTACATAGATCACTACAATTTGATGTGTCACTACCAACAGCTTTGCCACCTATGGCACACACTAACATGAATGGGAAGCTGGATAAGTACATCGCTGGCAGGAAAGAAATTAACCACGTTTTCAGTAGATACCGCAAAACTAAAGACAAAAAAAGAGCAGTGTACTGACAGGGATCATAACAGAGGGTCCTGGACAGAGCTGGAGAAAAATGTAGAACAAAATTCTAACTCACAAAAAAAAAGACCAGACTTACTGGCCTGACAGAGACTGGAGAAACCCCGAGAGTATGGCCCCCGGATACCCTTTAGCTCAGTAATGAAGTCACTCCCAAGGTTCACCCTTCGGTCAAAGATTAGACAGGTCCATAAAAACAAAATGAAACTAAAGGGGCACACCAGACCAGGGACAAGGACTAGAAGGCAGGAGGGGACAGGGAAGCTAGTAACGGGGAACCCAAGGTCAAGAAGGTGAGAGTGTTGACATGTCATAGGGTTGTTAACCAATGTCATAAAACAATATATGTACTAACCCTTTAATGAGAAGCTAGTTGTTCTGTAAACCTTCATCTAAAGTACAATAAAAAAAAATTTTTTAAAAAGAGCAGTGTATGCCAATCCTTTTCTAACTATTTTTCTAACTTTTCTACTGTGTACTTTTATCTTGAGCTATCATTTCAATAGTTTATCATTAGTACCCTTTTCTCTGGCCTTCCTCAACCCCTTGCGGGCTTCCAAAAGCTGTATACTACAATACACCAAGAGGGAGTCAGATCCAAGCACAGAGAATATAAGCCTCTAAATAGGAATGTTTATATGGCTTACGGTTAGAATTTGGGGGGAGGACAAGTGGATCTAATTGCCTCCATTATTACAGATAAGTAAAACCATTTCTTCGTTATTTTTATTATGATTTTGAGCATGGTATTCAATGAGCCATCAAACCTCGATTCCAAGCCTGTCCTGATCCCCTCGCTACAACTCACCATCCCCAAACCTATCACCTGCATTCACC